TGCATGGGAAACTGCAAATGTAGCAATGCCATTGGATGGCCTGTCTGAAAAACAGGACCTCCCTGGAGTCCACGGACAGAGGAGAACTGTAGGAACAGGGTGCAAGCAGAGGGAAGCGGAGATTCTGAGAGACTGGACACGGCAGCCATCACCTGCTATTGGGGGATCAAAGGCCTCCCCCTAGTGTGACCTGGCTTGCTCCTTCCCTCCCTCAACAGCTACCAGGGTGGTCATTTGCCTTCTGGTTACCAACTGGTCCTTTAAGAGGGGTGAATCATTCACTCAATGGCCAAGCATGGGATGACTCCAGATTTTACATCTCCCTGCAGGCCTCACTTGGGAAGCCCCGGGCGCACAAGGAAGGGAAGAAGCCCCCCCTCAAAAGTGCATCACAAAGTAAGGCTGCTTCCACTGCTGGGGAGTTCTCACCATCAGCCCTCAACCCAGTCTTTACAGACGGGCAGCTCCTTCATGCCCTCTCACAGGGGTTAGTGGGATGACAAGGGGCCAGAGGAAGTCCCAGGGAGACAGCAGCCTGTGACGGATACTGAGGTGTAACGAAAGGAACCGGAAACAGTCGGTTCAGCAGTACCTCCTCCTTGGCACGAGCCTGTGAGGAACTCCTGCTCTATGGATCACAGAACTAGTTCTGCAGATCTGCCTGTGACAGGGTCTGAAGCAGAAGTCTCTTGCACAGACTCTAGAATTAGCCTGCCTGGATGCCAACGCTCCGTCACTTACACGCTGAAAGACAATGGCCATGTTACTTAACCTTTCGATGCCTCAGTTTCCCCATCTGTAAAATGGGCCTTTTCACAATACCTTCCTCTTAGCACTGTTGCATAGATCAGAGAAGCATACAAGCACATAACATTGCTTTGGCACGGGTTCTGGAGCATATTAAGTAATTAGCAGCAGTAGTAATACTCGCGAAACAGCTGGTGAGGAAAAGTGAGCTACGGGGGTGGAGTTTTGCTCACTGCCCTGTAATTGGCATGTTGCTTGGCAGAGTCCAAGATTCTCAAAGGGTCTTGTCTGCCTTCCAAGAAAATCAAACAACAGGTGCCTGGGTTGTCTTAACTTATTCCAGCCCAAAGGCAGTCTGGTTTGGGTTCAGACCTCCTGGAGCAGGCTTAACATTGACCGTGCCCAGCATTTACGTGAAAGCTTCTACCTCAAAGGACCGCCTGCCCTACTCGGGCCACTTTCCTACGCATCTGCCATGCAATCAATGAGCACTAAATGAATGCTCTTTATTTCCTGGGGGAGCTGGGACAGCACACCTTGCAGCTGCCCGTCAGAGGGGAAAGTGATGGCTCTAGAGACGCACTGATGGCTTTTCTTGTTTTGGGAGAGGTCGACCTCTGAGCTAAAGTTTCTGGTGAGGAAAGGGATGGGCACAGCCAGGAGAAGGGTCAGTTCTCTGGTAATCCAGCTGCTCCCATCCCTGGACCTGGGAGCATGTGACATATCTTGTCCTAACCTTACATTCTGAGACATCTTCACATGGGATATTTCAGTACTCAGCACATTAGCAGGGAGTGTCTAACATACTTCTTGTCCAAATGGGTGTGGGACTCGCTTCCCAGCACTCTGTTTTAAGGAGGGATGGGCATACAGACCACCACGCACACCCCCAAAGATAAATAAGGACTGTTACTAATGACCAATGAATGTGTGTTTATACCATGAATGTCTGCAGGAACGGAACCTGTTTAGGATTAATTACAGGGAGACATACTAGTTATTTTGAAACCTTTGAAGATTTTGAGAATAGCCTTTTCTGAGTTTCCCCAGAAGCCATTACTGAGCTTTAGTATAAGAAAGAACTGCCTAACTTTCTAAGTACACAATGATGACTTATCACAGACACCATCAGCAAGAACAGATAGAAAAATTTGTCACAGAGGGCGTGGGAGGGGTTTCTGCACTAGCTGGGTAGGAGACTGTGCTTGGAGCCCTGACGTTCCTTTGACCTCTAAAATTCTGGAACTTAAACAAAGGGAGGTGACTCTTTGGAGGCTGACACCCAGAGGACAGGGCATCGGGTTTAGGGGATCATTCCCAGGACTTTTAAGTGTTTCCACGTAGCCCATTTTTGGTGGCCTCCAAGAAACTCTGAAGCCTGAGATATTCTATTCTCAGTGTTGACCATCTGCTGCAATAAGCATCTCAAGAACAGGACCCAGGAGGACTGAGTACATGCAGGGCCTGGGAAAATCTGGCAGGATGGCTGGAAAATGTGGAACAATGGGACAAGGGGGCGCAGGCAGGACAACTACAATGTACCCCCTTTACTACCAACAACACCGTGAGTTGTGCCAGAGAGGAAATATCCGAGATCGCTTCACGTGGCAGAGACAGCTTGGCTTTGTGATGCACCAATAATTTGAGAAACAGGGAGAGAGAAATAAACACGAACCTCTTACAAAAAGCCTTGGAGTCAAAGGAGAGGAAATTACCCAGACTACCAGGGTATTCTAATCAGAGCCTTCTTATCAGAGTGTCTCCAGTCTAACGAGGAGAAATCCAATCTACAGCGGGCTGGACGCTAAATTAGATCTAATCAGGACCTGCTTTCCAACAGCTCAGCGGCAGGTCAAAGCCCAATGACGGCTGCAGTTGCTGCTTCTTTCTGGAGAGCAAGCTTGCCTGAGTTGTGTCAACTCCTGGTCACGCGCAAGGCAGGGATGCTTTGTCTTTACTCCTAGTTTACTCCCAGCTATTCCATTCCATCTGCTCAAAATTTTGGTGAGATTAAACTAGAGTTCCTGGCCCATGCAAATCCTGTGAGTTCTATTAATATCGTCACTGCTGTCTGCTCCAAGCTGGGAGACATTTCCTTTTTTAAAAAATATGCAACCCCCCCCCAGAAATAAACTCCCCCCAAACCCATGCATTTATTGAATCTTTGCAACATGCCATGCACTCTGCTAGGCACTTTGATGCATGCTAGATTTCTCCTTAATGCATGCAATGACATTTTTCTGTCTACACTAGACACGCAGATTGTAAAAGGATACTCACCCCAGCCCAGTACAACACAACCACCCCCAAATCTACCTCAACGCCAATGCTACTGTTACTCTTCTTTCAAGGGATTAATAGCTACAGTTAACTAGCCTTATGGAGGTGGTTACGATTTAGTTTCTTTGCTACAAGCAAAGAATACCATCTGTGAAACACCCAGCTCCCTGCAGAGCCCTGGTGGGTCACTGTAACAAATAGCTTTAAAGGCTCACCCAAGGGCTGGGACCTCTGAACTCAAAGATGCCCGCACAGAGATTCAGAGTGAGACAGACGTGGAGATGGAGGTGAGAGGAGATACAGAGAAGAAAAGACACAAAAGAATCTTCTTTCTCTTGCTCTCAGCTTCATTGAAACAAACCTGACTGCTGCTTGTAGATGGACATGCTGCCTGGAAACTAGCTGGGCATGATTTACATGACTGCATTGTCTTAGGAGAACCGTCCAGGCCTGAGTCTTACAGGACATGGGAAGGGGAGGGAGTTAAGATGTGAGAAGGTAAAGGCTGAGGACAAATCTCATTTCCTCTTTCTTGAAGAGTCTCTGGGAGTCACCGGGCCTTCCTCTCTCTATTTTTGTGCCTGGCCTCCCACCCACCCGGAGACCCAGCTTGCCTACCTGGTCTGCAAATTCCTGCTGCAGCTTTGTTTAACTGCACACAGGAAGTCGGGAGGCCCTGGGCCCCTTCCTCACTGCTTGTGACTTGGGAGATAGTTTTACAAAGACACACACGCTCACTCACTCATCTTTACTCAGATATACACCTCTATTGGAAGGCTGAGAGCCTTCTGAGGCACAGGGCCATGTAAACTCTTCTCCAGTTTCCACACGTATTTTGCTGTGTGATTGAGGTCAAGGCGTTTACCTGAGACCTGGCATTCTCCAGTGTTCCCAGGATACTCAAGATCAATTCCTCATACTCCTAGGAATTGTGATGGTCACCGAGCAGGATGTGTATGTGAGCACATGTACTCCCATGCCCACAGCACATGCGCGTAGATCCCACGGCTACCTAATCACAAACTACAGATAACTCTCCCCCATCATAGAATCTTAAAATATATGACAAGCTAAATTCCTTTCCTTGCCTTTCCACATCAGAGTTCAATTATCTTCTTCAAACATTTAAAGCTCAAATGACCAGAATGAAATAAATGCAAATAAATAATCCTAGAGCTTAAAATTTGAGGCAACAAGTCTTCCTTTAAATTAAATAAACTCTGGGGTGGCTGGGTGGCTCAGTCAGTTGAGCATCCAACTTCGGCTCAGGTCATGATCTCGCGGTTCGTGAGTTTGAGCCCTGCGTCAGGCTCTGTGCTGACAGCTTAGGGCCTGGAGCCTGCTTCGGATTCTGTGTCCCCCTCTCTCTCTGCCCCACCCCTGCTTGTGCTCTGTCTCTACCTGTCTTTCAAAAATTGAATAAACATTAACAAAAATTTTAATAAATAGTTAAACAAACTCTTACCCCCTCAGCTATATCTTACTCAGATAGAGTCATATTGGTGACTGATTATGTTCTTCTATAATTATTTCACCATCCCACCCCCAACCCTTCTTCAAGGTCACATGTGTATCAGCAGCTGTTTCAGCTTTATCGGAATAAGGTGTGAATGTTTTAGTTCCCTAAATTCCTAGCATGCTCCTGCAAGATGCTTCCCCTTGTAGGATTCCATTCAGCCTTAATTTCTAGCCTCCAGACCTATGGTTAGTGACTCATGCCCCGTCCAGGTTCCTGAGCTGTAATGTATCATGTAGGTTTGTTCACATTGACCTTGGTCTCCCTCTGCCAACTCCCTGGCTGTCCTTCCATCAAAAAGAGGTGGTGGAAGTGTGGGGTGGACAGCTCAGAATCCCCTCCCCCCTTTTGGTGTGTGTAAAGTCAAAAGAACTGTACTGAGCATGGCTCGAAGTCTGCAGGTGAAGAGCCAGTAGACATTCCTAGAGACATACATAGTGACAATATGCCTACTCACAGCAGCTGTAGGGATACCAGCCCATCAAACAGTCCCTTGGCAATCTCGGTGATCTTGTTTCCATACAGCACCCTAGAAAAGAGAAAACAGCAGTCTCTGTGATGCAAGGCCACTGAAGCCCACTCAAGTGAGAGGCCATCGCCTCTGCCAACTCCTGTAGGAGGGTGGGGCTTCTCAGAGCATCTCCTTCCCTGGCCGGCCTTACCCTTCCTCCTTACCAGTGAGACAGCAGGCAAGTGCCACAGAGGCTGCAGAGACAGGCTGTCTGGGAGGCAAGGAGAAATCAGCTCCATCCTGTTTCATTACTGGGCAGCCCAGCTTAATAAATAATCCACAATAGGGCGCAGCGGTCCCCTTGTAGTGTCTCCCTGAGCTGCTAATATGACTCACACCTCGGCAATAAATAAGACGTGTAGGAAGCTGGCCGGCCCTGTGTCTTCTTGTCTTCAATGGATATTGATCAGGCTGAGCCCAGCCTACAGAACGTTTCCTTTTAATATCCCGTTGTATCCTAGGAATTCCTGAGCTGAGTTCTTTAATCATCCCTCTAGGCAGGGCTTTGAGTTTTGGGGGTCCTATCCAGATGGCACAGGGACCGCAGAGTCAAAGACTGGCTCACAGGAAAAACTGGAGAGCAAGGAATTGTTACCTCAGAGTGATGGCCCCCACACTCCAGCCCCTTTGCCTAGTCTTTGAGCTCTAGGAACCAAGAAACTCTGAATTATTTTACCCTCCTCTCTAGTAGGTGTACAGGTCCCTCATACTGCGCCTCCTATTGGTGGGCTGGGCTTTGGTGACTTGGGAGCGCTTGGGGAAGAATTCTACTGTCTGCTTCTCCAGCCCAGCACCCAGGGGGTCCTGTTGGCCATCCATGTAGGTGCTAAAGACACTGCTGGCCGCTCTCTGCTCTCATCCACGGCACAGACTGCTTCTTCTGGGCCCAGCCTCCTTTGAGATGGAGAGATTTGGGAGGGTTGGTTTTTGTTTTTTTTTGTTTTTCCCCCCTTCAATTCCCTCTTGGGCCCTGAAATATCCTGAATGAATGCAATATCCAATTCCCACTCAGACTGCAAATTCAGGCTGTTATAGGTCTTTGAGGAGACAAAATATTAGGGTGGGGAAACAGGAAATGGGAATGCTAAACCAAACCCCCTATTTTCCAGACACCACCAGGAAAAAGCGTGAGTGTCTCACTCAGCCTGCGGGTGGGTTTCATTAATGTTTCAACAAATTAATGAGTAAATAAAAGTCAGCATGGTGGCTCAGGCTCAATTTGTAATTCATATGAATGTCCCCCTGCTCACTGTGCCAAATGTAGTAGTGTCCCTGTCTGCTTGTCTTGGCTGATGTCAGAAAATGTGGTGCAGCAGTAGCTGGTGGGGCGGAGGGGCCAGGGACTGGGGCAGGGGATCCTCACATGACCCATCAGACCTCCCTATGGGACAGCTCTAACCTCGTGGGTCCAAACCACCCTCCGGCAGACTGAGGAGGGCTGTGGGTCTACTGTGGAGCAATCTGGGTATAGACCCACCTGGCTTTCCCCCAAAATCTTTCCTTGACTGCCTTCTTCACACCTTTCATATCTGAGTGCAAACATCTCATCCTTGGGAAGTTTCTCCAGAATATTTTAATGTTTTTCACCACCTGTCACTTTATTTTTATTTCCTCATTACTTTTCATTATGTCATGTTCTACTACTCAGGTATTTCTTTATTTTAAACATTTTCTGTGCCCCTACCTCTCAGCTCACTTGAACGTAGGCTCCATGCATGTGGCGATATTATGTGGCTTGCTCATGGCAGGGTCCCTAGAGCTGAGAGCTGAACAGGGTTCAGCACAGTATTTGTTGAAAGAATAAATGAATGAGTACAGGCAAGGCTTTCCTGCCCTTTAGCTTGGCCCCTGGTGAGTTTGGATTGGGTATGTTTGTGTTCCAAGATCCATGAGACCGAGGGTCTTGTCCGTCCAGTTCACTGCCACATTCTCCATGCCTGTAAGATGATGCAGTACCTAGCAGGCATACTTGGAAGGATGAATGCATACATTAGAGGTCAGGGGGCACTTCACTTAATGCCCCAGTGTGTACTTTGGAACTGGCTAGTGGGATGTCATTTCACATATGACAAACAGATTCTGAATTTTGTTTCCTGTAGGACCAGAAGCATCTCACTGTCCTCGGATTGTTCCCAAGTCCCAGCAGAGGGAAACTAGATAAGGGGAATAGGAGGGTGGGGGCAGGGACAGGATCCTGGCAGCACACAGCCACTCTCCCTGCTCCTCCGTGATCTTCGGCATAATACGCAGACACTAATCTCATATACAATCCTGTCTTTGATATCCCAGCCAGATGTTCTGTTCGATAAATGAAACTAATTTACTCTGCAAGCAGCCGGCAACAGCTGAATCAAGACACTTCCCTGTCCTCAGCCCCTTCCCAGTGGGATGGGGCCAGGTGGGGACAAATGTGGATCTTGTTACCTGCCCACTCATAAATTAAGCAAACAGGTTACAGAGAGAAGGAAGCATTGACAGCTTGCTTCTGAGCGTCCTCACTCTTACTCAGTGGGCAGGTCACCAAATGATATAAATAATATCAACTGAGGATGCTTTTCTTGTATTTTACTATATACTTTTTCTTTCATATTCTCTCGAGAGGCAGCATAGCATTGGGGATTGAGAGCATGGGTCCTGGAGTCATACTGCTTGGGATCCAATCCTGCATCTCCTAGATAATTGCATTCATTCAACACACTTTAGCTTTGTGCAATTATCATGTGCCAGGTACTGTTTGAGGTGCCAGAGATTCAGCCAGGATCCAAACAGAGAAAAGTCCCTGTCTGTGTGGGGCTTAGATCACCCGATTCCTTCTACTGTAAAAGAAGGAAGTGGATAGAGTCTGTGTATTAGGTTGTTATCAGGATTAAAATTGCAAGACTCCTAGAACAGTATCTGGCACACAGTAAGTGCTTAATAAGTGCTGCCAATTATTGTAATCGTGGTCACCATTGAATATGTGGTAGGCAGAAAAGGTATCACTATCCTCGTTTTGTCTGTGAGGAAAATACACAGTAGGCTCAAGTCACATTACCCATGCCACACGGTGAGCCACAGGACAAAGCCCCATGCCTTCTTGCCCCTGTGGGTCTCTGACTCTCTGGTGGATGAGGCTGTGGTTCCATCCAGTAGGCTGCCCTAGGGTTGCAAAACCCAAGAAAAGAAGCCTTTACAGGATGGCAAGTGTGCTTTCTCAGAACAAAGGCCATGAGGTTGGTTTGGAGAAAAAGCCTGAAAATCAGGGGAAGAAAATTAGCTCCTCCCTTGACAAGGTCACATAGTTGGGAGAAATGGGCACGTTGGTAATAAACATACATTATCATTCTGTCCTTCCATCTCCCTAGAGAGCGCTGCTGAGGCACGCAGGGCAGGAGGGGGACGTGTGGGTAGAGCTGAAGATGCATTTGAATTAGAAGCCAATAGCTAGGAAGGCTGCTGGGCACTTAATCAATAAAAATAATGCATTTGGGTTGTAGAAATATTCCCTAAGATCAATTTCCCCTGAAGAAATATTTGTTTCTTTTACCAGGTTGCCACAAGTGTGTAAGGGAACATAAAGCCTTGATAAACACCTCCTGAAAAATATGGACACATTCCCCCCCCCACCACCACTCCCCCATGACTCTGCTCCCCACTTACAGCGACGTGAGTGATTTCAGACCCTGGAAGGCATCTGGAGCAATGTCCGATATCTGATTCTTGCTGATGTCTCTAAAAAACATTAATGGGAGAGTCTGAGAACATAGCTCAAAGGTGTGATACGACCATTCTTAAGTGTGAGTCAAGCATTTCAGATATTGAAAATGGTGAGAATTAATCAATTTATGTATTCATCGTACAAGAGAAGGGGCTTAAAGACCATCAGTTCAACTGTCTCTTCATAAAATATACCACATGTTTTCACTCTTCTTGGCTTTCAAAGAACGCCCACCCACGGCACCCTGACTTTGACATATGGCTTTGCACATGTGAGCCCTCACTTTGTAGGGAAGACTGCACTCAGTCACATTAGGGCCTTGTCGCATTACCAAGCAATTATAGCATAAATGAAGCAGAAGCCTGCCTCACCCAAACACAGGCCAGGGTTCTTGCAAGCATCATCTTCTTGTCTCATGCCTCAGCCAATGCTTATTTTTTCCCCCAAATAGTCCTGAGTCATTTCACCTCCCCAGTGACCTTTCCTTCCTGACCTGAAAAGAGGTTTTGAGCAGGGACTTAAGTCTCTGTCTGGTTCAGGGCATCCTTCAGGTCGTGTGACGTAAGCACATCACGCGATTCTCACGGGATACCTCTGAGATGTGGATTTGTCACTGGAGTGCTCCTCAGAAAGGCACAAGCCTGGGGAGTGATGCCTAGGGCTTTGGGGTAACGTGGATGAGAGGGACGCTGTGTAATAGAAGGCAGCTCCCCTGGCTGGCCGGGCTGGCGCAGAGGAATCTCCCTGACCCGGCTCCTCCCCAAAGCCCAGAGGCTGTCCCCTTTCCTGCGTCCCAGTGACTTGTGAGCACCCAGCCCTCAGTTCTGAGAGGGGAGACGTTCTGAGCCATTAGCTTAGGGGCGGCCTCTGGGCTCCTGTCACTGGAAGGTGAGATGCTCCAATTTCCAGAGACAACGTACCTCTCCAGTTCTTTTCCTTTAACAAAATAAATCAATGGATCTTTGGTTTTGTTCAGAAGAGAGAGAGCTGAGGTCTTGGAGGGTCAATGAGGAGGAGACAAGGGGATACGGAGAAGAAAGCACATCTAAGCAGATCCTTAAGCAACTGCCTCCAGCGAGGCCAGACACCCCAGCCCCCAGCCTCGTAAGCATCCTCCCCCCGTCTGTCTCTCCCTTCCTTCTAAAGCGTTGCGCAACCACTTTTCCTAGGCCTCTGCTCTCTTCCCTCCCTGCTTCTGAAGCCGGTAAGTTGAAAGATATTTCACAGGTTAAGGCTTCTTAGGCACAGCTGTCGAGCTTATCCCTTTAGCTGGCAAGATCGCCTCTTACAAATCCACAGATTGTGCTCACAAACTCGTCAGTTTACACCAGGCTTTTCTTCAGCGCTCCACTTTTGTAGAAGGGTCTTAACAAGCAAATGCCCTGGATTATCCTAATCTTGCTCGCCCTTGGCCTGCCTGCCTAGCAAGGCATTCCAGGCAGGCGTGCGGGGTCTGTGCTCAGATCAGACTGGTGAGCAAGCCTGGGTTTTTTATTTTGTTTTCCTGATCACGGGACGTCTCTTCAAGCTACTGAGACCCCCCAGTATGCAAGAGGAAGTTCTGGGACGCAGGGTGGAGGGAAAGTCCTCTGCTTTAGCCTTGTCAGGGCAAAGTGGTATTCAGTCCACAGCTAGCCTTTTGGATGCACTCCTCTCTGCAGCACAGGAGGGATGTCTTGTGGTTTTGGAGATGATGGAGAGTAGAACTGGACAAGTGATAGTTTAACTGGGAACTGCTCCTGGAGGGTCACTTCATCTTAGTTCTTAATACTGCAGGAAGGAAACAGCAACCCTCTGAGGGCAAGGACCCAGAGCCAGAGGGGACTTGACATGGCTCTTCAGGTAGAGGGCTGGTATCTCAAGTCTCCCCTCACTTCACAAAGATGGATGCAAAAGGTAGTGGCACTGGACAGAAGGCAGGCTGGGAAAGGCTTCTGCCGCCTACCAGTCTCCATGCTTGACCCCTCCCGGTCCATAGCAGGTGGCCCTGAGCTGACTCCAGGCATCTGGGTCACTATAGATCAGTGGTTTTCAAAGTGCACCCACAGGGAGTCTGCTTTGGCTAGCCTGGGGAAGGGAGCTAAAAAGTCTGCATAGGTAACACATCTCTATGTGATTCCCATGCACGTGATCCCTGGGTCATACTTTAGGCCACAGCATTTTATGGCCTGGTTGGTCTCTGACCCACCCCAGTCCCCTGGGGCTTACAAACTCGATGGACAAGAGGCAGCGGACTTTCTAGACTCTTCGGAGCCAAGGTGGCAAATTCCATGCAGGCAAGGCTCAAGTGGGAAGGTGCTGGCACCTGTGGATTCTACTCTACCTCAGAGCATGGAGACGAAAGAACACGCCCTTCCGGCCACACCACACAGCTCTGGTCCCCATGTGTCAGCGCCATCAGTTAACCAACCCTGTCAACTGAGGGCTTCTCTCTAGTGCCCTCTGTTCTCCTCTCAAATGGCTCTACCTTGATACTAGTTTTTACCTGGAAGTATTTTTTTCTACTAAGCTGGACACGAGAAATAGGGACAAAGTCATTCATTCCAGGGGCTTTTTGTTGTTGTTGTTGTTGTTGTTGTTAGAAAGAGGAGGAGGGTGTGGTTCATTCACAGTTGAGGGGAAACTTCTCTCTGTTAGAGAGAGAGAGACTGGTTCATGTACACCTATGAGGAATTCACACTTAGGGTTTTAAAATCCATTCTGACCAGGGGCCCTATTTCTCCCAAGCCGTCATACTTCCATCTTGATTTGTGAGGTTCTGTTAGCTGGAAAAATCTGTAAGTGGTCTCTTTTCCCTACTGCCATCCCTTTGGGGGGGGGGCGGGCAAGGGGGCATCATAATAAATATCAGTAACATCAGAAGTGATCAAAAATTAAATTCACTTCCCAGGTCGTGACTGAGAAGGTCTTATGAATTTTGAATGCACAGATCATGGCAACTCCAATGGGATGAAGAAAGGACAGTAAAACATAGCCAAGCTCTAAATTACCTGGACCTCACAAAAAATTAGAGCAGTAACTTAAATCATGCAAGAGATATAGGTTGGGGCAGTGACTGAACTTGTCATTTTTCACTGAAATTACTATCTGGCTGCATAATCAAGTTAGGCTTTAAAAATGAATTGGGGGGGGGGCGTATGGAGTGAGCTGGGGAAGCAGGGAGACCAGGAGATTAATGGCCTAAGGTTTTAAATATTAAGGCCTATATTTATACAGCTCCTCCAGCAAGAATGCTGCCAAGGGGAGGGGAAAAGTATGTGCTCAGGGCTGGCTCATTAGGTTGGTTTCCACTTCTGGAATTGTACCAGGAGAAAATCTTGTTTGGTTTGGATTTCCAGGGAGATGGGAAGTTGCCTTCCCAAGATCTGAGGGTAAAGCCAACCAATGCCACTGTTTCTTGGGGATGTTTATTTTTACCATAAAAAGGAGTCAGCAGACACTTAACCTCTTTAATGTAGGCCCTCCTACTCAAGGGAAACCGATGAATCAGCCTTCAGTGGAAGGGAACAAGATCGAGCCTGTGCATATTTCTACCTGCTCTCTTTTTCCTCCATGGGAGGCCAGAGACAGTAAGTAACTGGGATAAGAGCAGCATTTTGATTACTGGACTGTAAGAAATGATTTCTCAGCTCAGAAAAGGGAAAGGAATCTCCCTCCCAGATTCTAAATATCCAAGCTGGCAATGGCTGGGCCATTTCCGAATCCTACTGGTGTCCCCTCGGAGTGCCCTGCTCTGCGTGACTCACAGAGTGGTGCTCAGGGCAGTCATGGGGCTGGGGAAGGCAGTGATGATGACATCACCACAATGGCGGGGATGAGGACCATGGTACAGGATGCTGTCAGTGGAGCTGTGAGAGGGAAGGAATGGTAGCACTGGCGTAACCAGGGACTGATAGGATGTAGTGGTAGCAGTGATACCGGATGCAGCGGTAATGGGGGTGGTGGGGATAATCACAGGCAAGTCATATGTGGTTGGAGAATAAGGAAGGGCCCAAGGTTTCTTATCTCACTTAGAACAGAAAGTCCTTGTCATGGTCTAAAGGGTCACAGGATCTGGCCTCTACCTTCCCACCTCTCCAACACAAGCCCTGCCTCTGTCCCCCTCCCTGCTCTGCAACCCATCCATGCACGCTCCCCAGGGCCTTTCAGCTGCGCTCTCTCTCAAGAGCTCCTCATTCCCACCCTTCATTTGGATCACCTGTACAGAGAGGCTTTCGTGGGCCCGCCCTTTGTTTCACTTTCTAGTACTTAGCAATTTCTGATATTTGTTTCTTTTCTGTGTTTGCCCACTCAAATGTGTGAGCTCCATGAGAGCAGACTTTATTTTAGAGCATGTTCTATCCACAGACCCTGCAATTCCTTGCAGGTGGTGGACAGCCACTCTTTGTTAGGTGAATGTGTGCACAGTTGTAGGCATGTACCACAGCCAACATGTTAGGGTGCTGGAGATTGATACAAGGCCATTGCCATCTCATTTTTACTGAAGTTCCTACTTCAGGTCCACATCATGAAAGCCAGAGGATAATAAACATGGTAGTATGGGCTTTTTTAGGCCAATGCAGCTGTACCTCTCACCTAGATAATTTTACTTCGCTCTAGTTGGAGAGGCCCTCAGCTCTGAGGTGTCTACATCGCTACACCTCACCATCTGAAAGCAACACTCCTGAACCTTACCTCGCAATCTCAGGAAAGCATTCCAGGTCTGACACTGGGCTCTCCATGAGGAATGTGATGTGGGCTGTCATCTGGGCAGGTTGCCTACTACATAGGGCATATTACCCCCCAGACTGAAAACATCTGGTTCATTCCTCCCCAGGGGAAACTCACATTCGCTTCAGTTTCTTGTACTGGGTGAAGGCTCCAGCAGGGATGGATTTGATGGAGTTCTGTTCCAGGCGTCTGGGAAACAGAGCAGAGAAGAGTCAGTTAACCATCCACCTGTCAACAGGCGGTTGCTGAGGGCCTTGGGGGACAGGACGGCCCCTCCCATCACGTGGCACCCGATACTGGTTGCGGGACACTGGGCAAACTTCTGCAGGATTTTGGTTCTTGCTTATTCTAAGTGGTCTTTGAAGGCAGATGTCTTCTTCACAAAAGCTGTGGGAAGTAACTGGCATGCTGAAAAAGTCAAAGGGATAAAGAGAAGAAAAAGAGGTGGCCTATGGGCCAGCAATGCCCATCTGCCCTGGAAGCATGTCACCATTCTGTCAAAAATTCAACCACTGGGGAGCCTGGGTGGCTCAGTCGGTTAAGCGTCTGACTTCGGCTCAGGTCATGATCTCGCAGTCCGTGAGTTGGAGCCCCGCATCGGGCTCTGTGCTGACAGCTCAGAGCCTGGAGCCTGTTTCAGATTCTATGTCTCCCTCTCTTCTGGACCTCCCCCATTCATGCTCTGTCTCTGTCTCAAAAATAAATAAACGTTAAAAAAAAAAATTAAAAAAAAAACTCAACCACACTGCCACTGGGGTATTGTACAGGCAGAAATGACAATGGCTGACTTCATTCCTGGCTTTTTTTAAAATTAAGGTATAACTGACATATAATATTAGTTTCAGGAATACGACATACAATAAATAACATTTGATTATTTGTTTCTGGGTTTTTCAAGGGCTGTTCTAATATGCTGGAGAAATGGCCTTCAAGTCTTTAGGCTCCCAGCCTGCCATTCATCAAACTGACTCCGACACCCTGAGGACCCTAGGGGCCCCGACCGGACCACTCCCCTGGGATGCTGCTAGAATCTGTGGCTTTACTATGTTACAGACTTTCCTGAAGACCTTCCTCTCTTGTAACTCTGGAATGACAAGAGATGTCATAGGCCCCAGGCCCAGGGCCGAGAACTTTCTTGAAGAGAAGTGAGTAAGCATCTCTATTCTCTCGCCTCTCAGGTGACTTCCTGTTACCAAGAACAGGTGTGGTGGGAAACAGGCCTGAGTAGGAGGCAGGGCCCTCTATTAGAGGTGATGAGTGATGCCCTCAGGCCTCGGCTGAGGACTCAGCATCTCCTTCTCGTCCATCTCCCTTGTCTCCAAGGCACGGGTCTTGTCATCACCTTCTCATTTGGCATGGATGTTCCCTAACCTCTCAGCTGGGAAGACACAAAAAAAGGTGTGCGCGGGGGCGGGGGGTGGGGGGAGCAGAAGGAACAGACGGGCGGAAGTGGCTCCCTCAGAGGCTACATCCAGTGGCTGCACATTTCTGGCTGGGATGAACCCATTCATCTTGAAGAGTAATCCCCGCTGCAGAGTCGGGGAGACAGTCGTATTAATTTGTGCCTCTGCGATCTCATCTTCATTGGGGGAAGAGAGTATTTGTTACTGGAACCGCTAATGGAGCAGTTTGCCAGCAATTTTCCCATTTCAAACAACATCTCAGCTGCTAATGTGGAATGGTTTGTCAGGCCTACCCATAACACAGACAAATCACTCTCTAGGCCAAAGGAAGGGTGGGTGGGGGAGAGAGAAAGAGGAAAGGCGGGTGGGAGGAGAGAGGGAGCATCAGGACAGATCATTCTTGGCTGCTAGATGAATAGAGTCTACAAATGAGACTGCCACGGTCTATTAAGAAAGCCTTTGTGGCCTGTTGGAGGGGGTGGGGAGCGTGTTCTGCTGGGCACATGGGCACAGGCTGGCCAGACAGGGGCCTGGCTGGTTCTTGGTAAGGCACAAGAGCGCGCCACAACGTCCCAGAGACTGTGGGCTACCCGATACAGCCAGCCGCAGAGGCAGCAGGGAAGCTCCAAGGACATTCTTGTTCTCCAGCTGAGCAGAGTTCAGCAGGGATCTCTCAGCCCAGGCAACAGCTCCATGGGTCTCTGGGGCTGCCAATCAGGTGGAAAATGCTCTCCAGGAATCCTGTGATTCACCTGCCACTTTGGCAAGGGATTGCGGCTGGATGATGCCTCTGGGGAGAGCCACTGTCTGTAACGATGGTAACCCCCTCCATTTTCGCAAGAGAACCCACTGCTTCCAGCTGCAGGCCAAGAACCTAGGCAAGTCAGGCCAGCCGGGGGTGCGTGGTCGGCCGGCTGTCAGTGCAATTCATAACAAATTAACCTGCACTTTAGTGAGGGGTGTAAGATTCAAGGGAGGGATGAATCCATGAGCAGTATGTGGTACCTGTCCCTGAGGAATTTAATCATCTGGGGATAGAGACAGACCAAGATGGTCCACCACAGAACCAAATTCTATTGCTATCATAACAAACAGGAAGAGCGATCATTTATGAGGCCAAGTTGATTTATGTCTATTATCTCTTTTAATCCTTACATGTATGAGGCAAGCTATGTTGGCCTCATTTGGTGGATGAGGAAAATAAAACCTACAGGGATCAAATAGCCCATCCAGAGTGACAGAGCTAGCAAGAGGCAGAACTGACACCTGTTTCTACACATCGGACATACTGCCTTTCTTTCTGAAAACAGAGAAATTGAGGCCTAGAGGCTAAAGTGGCCTCCCCAAAGTCACAGAAGAGTTTAGGAGGTTATGACCCCAATGCTGATTCTGAGACATCATGCAGCCTCTGTGTAAGTGGGTATTTTGTCTTGCCATTTGCAACGCCGTGGACAGAACTAGAGTGGATTATGCTAAGTGAAGTTGGTCAGTCAAAGAAAGACAAGTATCGTATGACCTTACTCATATGTGGAATTTAAGATACAAAACAGATGAACATAAGGGCGGGGAAGCAAAAATAATATAAAAACAGGAAGGGGGACAAACCATAAGAGACTCTTAAAATATAGAGAACAAAATGAGGGTTGCTGGGGGTGGGGGTTGTGGGTGGGGGATGGGCTAAATGGGCAAGGGGCATTAAGGAGGACACTTGTTGGGATGAGCACTGGGTGTTATTACGTAGGGGATGAAGTCATTGGCTTCTGCTCCTGAAATCATTATTGCACTATATGCTAACTTACTTGGATATAAATTTTAAAAAATAAATAAACTTAAAATAAAATTTCATAAGGAAATAAAAAAAAGACATAGGCATTTTGTAAAAAGGCTGTAGGAGTTGAGGGAGATGCAATACAGATGCGAATACATACAAATATGCAAACAGAGTACAAAGGTGTGGTTTTGAGCAAAGAACTTCAATCTTAGCAGGGACGGCTCTGTGCGTCCTGTACCCATCAGACTAGTACACTCTGGGGATGGTATTTGTCTCTGCAGTCTCTCTGCTTCTTATGCTGCTGTGGGTCCTGGCTAGACACCTGATCCCTTATGGAGTGCCAAGGCCATGCCATGATGTGGGTTAACCTCGCTCCAGGGGGGATCAGAGTTTGTCTGGGGTGGTACAGTTGTGAATAGTCAGTGTCCTTCGAATGTGAGGTAAAGGCAAGGGAAGGGGTAATAACAAGAGTAAGAGCTATGAGGTGTCAGGTGCTTGTAAGTCAGGCATTAGGCTAAGAGTTTTACATGGCTTGTTTATCTTAATATTTACACCATGGTGAGGCAGGTCCTATTCATCGTTACCATCCCCGCTTTAAACATGAGAAAATGGAGGCTCGGAGATGTTAAGTCTCTTGTCCAAATTCACAAAGTCAAGAAGAGCTACAGGAAGGAAATGCAGGCAAGTTTATTCAATTCAAAAACCTGAGCCCGCAGTCACTAAGCTTTGTTGAATCCCATTTGTAGCTGAGGCATCTCCATTTTTAGTTGCTGGCAGCTCATCCTCAGAGAAATGGCCCTTTTGTCAAGGGAGTAAGACTACAGTGCCTGTGCACACACAAACTTTCTATGTAGCAAACAGCCCCTGGTAGGTTTTATATAGCCTGGAACAAGCATGCAAAGATCCATACTCCCAGTGACAAGAATTCAGTGTGAAGAACAAAAAGAAGCATTAGCATCAGCAAAAAACTGTCACATTTAGAGAGGTGTCTGAAGCCAACAGCTGTTTTAGGTCTCTCTTAAATGGCACATGTGTCTTTCTTTGTCTGGCAAACATTCTTCAGGCTGCAAACTGATTTAATAGAACTAGCATAAAAACAAACATACAAATCAAACATCTGAACATCTTCCGGCACCAGTAAAAACAATGGGAACATCTGATGGGGATTTCAGCCGTTTGCGCTCTGTATTGATTTGCCCTAGTTTCTCGGTGCTTCCTTAATGATCTGTCATTTGCAAACATGCGACTGAACGCAATATATTTCTTGCAATGCATAAGTCAACATGATGCCAGAGAGACTGGCAGGGGCATGGCTAGTGCGAGGGCATGGCTACAAGTCACCTGATAAAGACGTCCTGGAGCTGGGTTGGAATATTGGTAGTGGTGTGGCTGAGGTGGCAATAACGATGAACATCTACCATTTATCGAGGGCTTTTTCTATGTCAGACACTGTGCTCTTTGCATACTGGCTCATTTTATTCCTTCAGCAAAACTACAAAGCAAGTGTTATTAATAATATAGTAACAACGAAGTTGAGGGATGCAGGCATATGTGACACGAGCCGCTCCTAACCTACTCTGCACACTACCTGGCACTGCCTGCAGAAAGCAGAGAGAGAGCCAGATTTTCTCTTCTTACTATTTGCACGTGCCCACATGCCTCCACCACAGAATTTGTTTTTTTATCATCTTAGAAAACAATGAATGAAAAATAATATGGGAACTTGAGACCAAACCATTCTATCATGTTGTCCATGCGACACATGCATAGGCTTTTCTTTTCAGATTTCATTCAGTGCCTTCCAAACATCGTGCTAATTTTCTGTGCAATTGTGTTATTTAATCTTCATGGAAAATCTCTAGTAGGTCTGATGAGCCCCATTTTGCAAGGGTCGGGGGGGGGGGGTCGGTGGGCAGTGGCGGACCAAGTGAAGCAGGAGATGTTAAGAAAGATGCGCAAAGTAAGAGGTGAAACTGAGACTCAAACCCTGAACTATTTATCCTAAGGCTCTGTTC